CCCCCGTGGGGGGGGGGGGGGGGGGGGGGGTCCATCGCACGTGTCGGTCCCTGTTCCCCTAGCCCCGCACCTGGCTGTCACTTTACCTGGCTAATGTAGCCCCAGGCTTGCCCCCTGGAGCTTCAGCTGTTGAGTGCCCGGATTCTGTGTGCCGAAATTGCACTGTGGGTGAAGCCTCCCCTTCTCCCACACCCCGCCCCGCTCCTGCTCTTTTTACCCAGTAGGGAAGAGCCAGAAATCACCCACCTGAGAAGAGAAGCTTGCAGTCCCCTGGCCTCAGCTCTGGTCTGGCTGGACCAGGAGAGCCTCAGCAAGATAAATACCCAGCCCCGGGGCCTCAGCCTATCCTGGAGAATCTGCTCTCGTTGCTGCTCTCCATGTAAACACTGGTCACCTCAGATTTGCATCCCGGAGGCCACACAGGCAGAGCGCCCAGGTTTGAGTGAGGGTTTCTTACCACCACCTACACACCCTCCACCCAGGCAGAGTTCAGCCTGACCACTTTGTGGTACTTCCCTGGTCCAGGCGCAGCGCCAGGAACAAGCCGGGTCACTGCTGCTCTCAAGGAACTCTCCCTAGAGAAATAAGCCCATTGACTGGGAGGGTGTGGGGGGGTTGGTGCTGGGGATCCAATTCGGAACTTTGCGCTCGCGAGGCAGGTGGCAGAACCACTGAGCGAAATCCCAGGCTCAAAAGGTTTTAATCTCAAGTATGAGTGTTATGTTGCTAGGATGAGTTACTGACCCTGCTTCTGAATGCCCTTAACTTTGTTCCTTCAGCAGTAGTTGCTCTAGAGGCCCAAAGTGTCCTTCAAAGGTAAAATCCTGGGTGGCCCTTTCTAAACACATTTCAGTTATTGAAGCATGCTTAATTAGTTAAGAGAAAATGAAGATTTAGCAGTAGTAACTACATAAAGTAAGGCTACCTATAAGAAGTCAAATTAGAAGGGTTTCAGTGGCCACGAATGTTGACACGCTTTGGCTTGTCTTTGGTAGCTTTTGCTATGATTTTTAGTAGTAGGGGTTGATAGTAGTAGTAGCTCAGTGACAAAGCACTTGCCTTAAACTCATAAAGCCCTGGGTTTGATTCCCAGCACTGAAAAAAAAAAAAAATCCAATTACTTCTTTGTTGTTGTTCCTGGGGATCAAACTCAGGATCTTGTGCTTGCAAGGCGTGCCACTGAGCTAAATCTTGGGTCCCCAATAACATTTTACCAGAAAGTCTCATGAATTTCCTGTTCCCTGGTCAGTTTCACAGCCTCAGTCCCCCAATAAAGGGGTTCCTGTGGCATAGTCAGCATCTGCAAGGCAATAGATTTAATACAGGACACAATTTACAGGATTATTTTATAATATTCACCCAAATGTTAAATGCAGAGTGCAAGAGATCTGTCCACACACTAGAGACCCAAAGAATCCACCTGAGGGCCTGGATTCCATAGCAGTGTCCTGCCCAAGTCCAGCTGAAGGTCTAGAGCCCACAACAATGTCCCAGAGACCAGTGGAGGAAGCTAGAAAGCCTGTGTCAGCGGGGTGAAGGATCTGTGTCACCAGGTTGAGGGATCTCTGCTGGAGCCAGGAATGCTCAAAGTGAAGACCAGAGCTCCCCTGAGGAGAACAGCAGCTATCCCCAGTGACATTGAAGACCCGAGCTCCTCCTCCCATGAGAGAACAGCCAAGTTTGCATGAGGAAAATCAACAGCATACGATTTTCCCCTCCAGTTCCTTTTATGCCATTGGCAGCAATCCTCAGGTGGGTCTTACATGCCCAGAACCATGCTCACTCAGTTCAGCTGGGCGTGCCAAGTTGACCATTAGTTAATTCAGCTCATGTGGAAAGTAAGATGTCCCTTTGCAATGACCTGCCCCAAGATGACTGGGGTCTCTAGAATATGGTACTGTGTTCATATCTATATGGCCTCAACACAGTCCCCTCAGTGGGTGTCATGTCGCTGTCACTCAGGCAGGCAAGCAGAATGTAGAAAAGAGTACTGAGTGTCAGGATGAGCAAGCTCTGTCTGAGCTGCCTTAGGTTGCTTCACCCTTAGTCACCTTAGAGACTTTCTGACTGCATAGAACCCCACTTTGTAGAATTAAAAAGTAAGCAAAAGAAACCCTGCTCACTGTGGTAATTTGTCACATCGAACCAACAAGGGTGGTCTGAGCCCCAACACCTGGCAACAATAATAACCTCCAAGCAGAAGAAGCTCCCAATCAAATGACATGCCCAGTAAAACAAAGATAGTTCTAGCACTGTCACCAGTTCCAAAACAAATTCAGGGTAAGCAAAAGTAAGAAAAAGGAATATATGAAAACATAGGGGAAAACATGAAAAAAAAAATGAAAGACTTGAAAACAGAGCCCTAGTAATGAGCCAGACACCATTAGGTTTGTGAAAGGATTTGTCCAAATGGTCCAGGAGACCATTTCCTCCAAGGTGACACCCAAAGGGTCCAGAATGCCATCAGGTCAAATCATCAGCAATGAAAGAAGGACTTTTCACTGGGCAGAGTCCCCAGTGGTGGATGTCATTTCAGAATGAATATTTGCAGGGTGGAGTCACAGGGAGGCACATCTCAAATGGCAGTCTAAAGGTACTGCTATTTATATCCTAGGACATGTGTTACTCTGTGTCCACTTGTCAGTTTTTGAATGGCTTCAGTTGCTGACTATCATATTTGTATTTCCAGTGGCTAAAGATCAGCCACTTGGGCCAAGGATTTAGGTCAGTGGTGCCGCTGCCCGCCTCGAAAGCGCAAGGTCCCAAGTTTGACCCCAGTACAAAAAAAAAAATTACCATGCAGCATAAAGACCAGCCACTTGTCTTAGGCATGGCTTGTGACAAAAAAAAATCTCAAAATGGAGTTAGTGCTGTCAAAGCATAGTCGCGGCCATCATAATTAAAATACCAGTTCATTTAGGCTCAGGAGAATTGTAATACTGCAAAACATTCATCACACACCTAGTGTGGAGAAAGAATGTGAACACAGAGATGATCTAATCACTGCAAACACAGCGTAAGAGATCATAGAGGGCAGAGTGTGAGGGGTCACCTCATTCCCTGGGTGACTCTGAGTGGTAGGAAAATGCTCCCTGCTGGAAGGGGAGTTTGGAAATTAGGAAGGTGGCCTGAGCATGGAGCAGTGCCCTAAGGTAGCCAGTGAGCAAGCTTCAGGGACTGGCCACAGTAGGGAGAGGGAAATAGCAAAAATTTCATAATGGCACACAACAAGGAAGGATGGGAAAGGGGGCTGCAGATCGATAACAAGATCAAGGGAGTGGCCTTTTTCTTGCAGGCATGGGCACCATTGGAAGCCAAACCAGGGGTACAGGGATATGAGACCCTATTGGAACCCACAGTCACAGTCTCGAAGATGCAGAATGAAGACCTGAACTGTGGTGCAGGCACAGTTAAGAGAAGCAGGGAGGATGGATGTGAGAGAGGAGATATAACCAGCTGGAAGTAAGTGTGGTTAGCTCTGGAGAGGGGTAAAGGGGAGGAAGGGAGGAGACCACGCATCTGGCTTTGGAGAGGTCACCTGTGAAATGTCTCTAACCGAGCCTGATGTAGGGCAGATGTTCATATTTGCTTGTCACATACACACACACACACACACACACACACACACACACAAACACATCAGAGAATTCAGGGTAATGGCACCCCATGCAATCCTGCTGGCAGGAGTGTTCAGTGAGGTAAAAACTTGCTAACGAGCAACTTGACAAAAACCATCAAAAAATTAAAATGCAGGCACCTTTTTTCATGTTTTGTTTTTTTTCTGGTACTACGGATTGTAATGGAGACCTTGTGCTTTCGAGGCAGGTGGCAGCACCACTGAGCTAAATCCCCAGCCTGCAGGCACGTTTTGATCTAAGCAATTTCACTTTTAGGAATTTACCCTAT